CCTTGAAGTTTACTCACTCATGGAAAGTAGAAAGGAAGTAGACAGGCTGGTGAGTCCTGGGCTTAGATGAGCAAAGCAGAACTTGCAGGTGACAGAAATTAATTAGTTCTTCAGAAATTAAAAGTCAAAGCTAAATGAGGGAGAGCTGGTTTGTCAGCTCTAGGTTTCTGTCTCCCGCTGCTGTCCAGAACAGTGTTCCTCCCTATAGTCCTTTCTTGACTATATTCTGGGTCTGGATTCTCCCTGATAATGACAATGAAAAGCTAATAATCTAGTAGCATGAAGCAAGCCATCCTGTTGCGACCACTGCCATGATTATTATTAAAAACAATTCTTCATTTTACAATTACTCTTTTCATTATCTGCACATGCAGATATGAGTCTGAACAGAAATAAATTGGCCAAGCACTAAAGTTTGCTGTCCAGAGTCCAGCGGGAAGATTACATTAAACACCTATGCTGGCTTGAACACCACCTCACTGGCTTTCCCTACGTCTCGGGCTCCTAAGAATATCATTCAAATTGATATCTCAGTAAGATTTACAATACTACTAGTTTCTCGTGAGGCTGGAAAAATGTTTAATAAAATAAATCTCAATAAAGTAATCGTTCTTTTTTATGTGGGGACCACTCACTACTTTTGACTATGTCTTCCAAATTTTCTGTTGTGGAAAATTCATCTCTAGATTCATATATTAAGTGTTCAGAGGTGATAGCATTGGGTGGAGACTGAGTCATGCGGAGTCTACTCTCATAAATGGAGTGGTCTCATGAATTACTAAATTAATGGACTGTTGAGGGACTGGCTGTTACAAAAATAAATGCTCTCTGGCGTACTTGCTCCATCTCATCTTGTGATGCCCTTTTGCATGTTATTGTGTAGCAAGCAGAACTTTGCACCAGGTGCCAAGCAGATTCAAGGGCCAATGTCTTAGATGTTCAGCCTCCAGAATTCTGAGCTAAACAAACCTTTACTCTTTGCAAATTACCCAGTTCTAAGTATTTGTTATATTGTGACATAGTGATAGACAATAGAGTGTTGGGGGTTGGTCCCGATTGCTAGCATTATCTAAGAACTATACCTGTAGTTTTGTCTGTAACTACATTTCCAGAGAGGATAAACTGAAGAGGGAAAATTAACCTCAAAGTGAGCAAAACCTTCCAAACCATGGCCAACATGTGAGGACAGGAAGAAAAGCAGTGTGCATGCACCTGCTTTCTTCCTTCTGAGTAGGTCTGTCTATCACTGATGCTGTGATCCTCTACTGACATCAGACTCTTATCTCCTAAGTCTGCTAAGGTGGACTAAACACTAGTGGCTCCCTGGGGAACTTTCAGGCTTTCTGCTTTGGATTGAGATGGATGAATTATTCAGCTTCGTGAGCTGAGTAGCTAATATATACTTTGCCTCTCCAATGTTCAGGTGGACATTGTTGGATAACAAATGCCTATTGTATAAGCTAATCTAATAAACTCTATATATGGTTTGTTATTTGGGGACACTTGTTTGTGGGAGAATGTGTAAGAGTTTGGAGCTGTGGCCTAGAGATGTTCCAGAATGCTGTAAGCAGATTTTAATGGATAAGTCTGTTGGGAATGTAGAAGAATGCTGTAGCAATACAGATATTAACAACAGTGCTCATGAGATTTCAGGGGAACAGGATTATGCTGAAAACTGTGTTGCATTGTGTTATACTGTAGCCAACTATCTGACTGTCTTTTCCCACTTGTTAACATTTTAATAAAGCTGAATTTCAAAGTAACGGACTAATTTGTTTGCTACAAGAAATTTCGAGACCAAGTAACCTTAGGGCTGTGGAAAGGTTGCTTCTCATTGACCTTAGCAGGTTACAGTTAAAGTAAAAATAAAACAAAGAAACAAATAAGAAGTGTGCAGTTTGGTAATGAAAGGACCTTACATGGGTTTAAAGTTTCAAACAAGGCAAGTTCTGACAAGAGATCTGTAATGTTAAGAAAATTAGCACTTTTAAAGGGCAACCCCACGCTCTGCACTGAGACAAGAAAGGAGGTGTCCTGACGGGAGGACCCCCATCAAAGGCCACAGCTGTGACAATGCAAACTTGTTAGAAAGAGACCTGAGCTGAGAATGCTACTGAAAGGGCTCGCTGCCCACAGACAACTGCCCAGAAGAATTTCGATCAAGGTTCAGCTGCCACAGTACTCATGACTGCAGCAGCTCTGACAGGAGGGGGCCGATGATGTCACTAGCAGCAACAGAACTTGAATCATCACCCACACCATGTGGACTTTGTAGGCATGCAAAAGAGAAGAATGTGGGAAGAAAACTCTCATCCAAGGTTCCAGAAGGCCTTGAAGTAAGGGAATGTATGGGAGGGTTGGGTTCCCTGATAGCAGATCCTACAAACTTGAAACCTAAGTTTCAACCACTACTCCCAGAGATCAGAGATTCCATAAATGAGTGCTGTTTACCAAGAAAAACTGATGAAAACAATGATTTTCCTGGCCCGAGGGACAAGCCTCATGAACACAGGTGAGTGGGAAAGCTAAGCAAGGCAGATGGAGCATGGATTACACCATCTAGAATTCTAGCTGCTAGGCCTGGGGCTGTTTCTATGAAGGGTTTCAGTCTTGTTTGGGTCCATTCTTTCCTTGCTGATATTATATTGCTTCTTTTTAGAATCAAGTCATTTTTTCCATCTTCCATGCTATTGTATATCAGACATATATGACTTATTTTTTTTTGGTTTTACACAGACTCTTCACTAAAAGTTTCTTTTTAATCCCTGAAGAAACCTAGTCTTTAGAAGTGTTGGAAATTAAATATCATGGAAAGTTTTAAAGTTGGACTGCCCGTGTTTTATATGATCAGATGGTCATGAATACAGTCATACCCTAGAAAAATTGGTGTTTCTTGCTCCAACAACATTATCCTCTGTTGGTATAGAAGACGTGGATCCTAGAAGGAAGAATGATATTGTCTCCACTAAATTGAACACTAAGACTTCCCCATCTTTACTTTGGATTTTTCATATCCTTAAGTCAGCATGATAAAGCACAGGTAATAGTAACAGCAGGTGTGATTGGTTCAGATGACCTGTCGAAATTGGACTTCTATCACACAACAGAAGTAAGATTACATAGGGAATACAAGCAATTTGTAGAGCATTTCTTAGTATTCCTATGACTTGTAGTTAAGTGCAACAGAAAGCAACCCAATCCAAACAAGACGATAAGAAACACAAATGCGTTGAGTGTTTTTCTGTTTTGTTAAGAATGTTTCTGTAGGGATAGAGAGATGGCTTGGTGGTTAAGAGTATTCATTCCTGTAGAGAACCCAGGCTCATTTCCCAACCCCCACAGCTCTAGTTCCAGAAGATCCAGTTCCCTATGCTAACTTCCTGAAGTGCCAGGCACGTGTGTGCTGTACATATACACATGCAGACAAAAGACTCACACACATAAAATAAAATAAAGTTTAAAGAGGAGTGCCTTTATGTATATATTAACATATTAAGTATCCATATTGTATTTCCCTTCTATTCTTTATGTAACATAACATCAACTGACTATCTCAGTATTTTTAAATATATGTTGTCATATTCAAGTTATGGGATATCCAAAGAGTAAGTATTCTTCAAAAGACTTTAATCACATGTTTTGTGGAAAGATAAGTGAATTCTCAGTTGTATAGGAGATATCTATATCACAAGAAGTAGTTCTTACCTCTTTATCATAATTTAGAGGACTTAAGGACTTATTGTCAACTTGACTGGACTTATAATTGTGTAAGACAAACCCTGACAGTTCAAGGTATGTCTCTGAGGGTATTTACAAAGAAAACTGCCTAAAGGGGGTCCACCATAGTGGCCTGACCCCACTATGGAAATATAAAGGGATCTAAGGAAAAAGTTGCCTGCTGCCCTGACTTGACTTCTTCCTAAGCAGATACCAGCTTCTTCTGCCTTCCAATAAAGGCTGAATACCAGTGATTCTTCTGGAATCTTCTAGGTCTTCAATGCCTGATTGGAACTTCCAAGGCATCCATCTCATGGGCTGAGCACCTACCAGATTCTGAAGCTCTCCACTATGCAGCTAACCATTGTTTGACTGCTCAGTACCTATTCTGTAAATTAACCTGGTCCTCCAGAGAGCCTTACATATTACATAGACTAAGATACAATTCTTAGTCCACAAGTAGGTCACACAACCATTTTGTCCAAGCTCAGACCTGGACAAGCAGTACCTTGCAGAGCAAAAAGTTTCTAGGGTACAGATGACTGTCTCCAAGAGCCATAGTCTCTCTGCCACTTAGCCCAACTTATTTAGAAGTCTTCACATAGGGGGTGGCAGAAGCCCATTACTGTGCATATACCAAGTTGCAGTTTCATGACTCAATACTAAATCAAGGTCATTTTGGCAGGACCATTTCACATGGACCTCTTGCTTCCATTCCCCTCCCTTCTGTGCTTGAAAAGTGCATCTGGGCCATATAGACATAAGCACACAGGCAAACAAAACCAAGACTGAAATTAGCCTCTCTGGAACAGATTTTTTTTTTTTATACATCAGCTGTGCTCTGGACAACACTGAGCCCATCTTTGTGAGGTATTCCTGTGAGGTGCTCATACATGAAACACCTACCTCCAGGCTGCCCTAGGCATGATTAGCTTGGTCCTAGTTTTCAATATTATTCCCAAGTCCTTGCTAACATCTTTTTCTATGCACTTACCAGCTTAATGATCAGTTCCCAGTAAGATTTTCAGACACAAAATCATCAAGTGTCCAGCAAGTTTACATTCTAGTCACTAACTCAATCCAGATTATTCAGAATATGATAAAGCTAATCTTAGCAACAAATGTGCCTGGCCTGAGCTCATATCACCTATACCAAAGTTTCTTATCGCCAACTCATGAATATCCAAGTGTTCAGCAGCATGCTCTGTTACTTTTTTAATCAAATAAGTTTAAGATCCTGATAGAGATATATTTTAAATGATTCTTTTTAACATCTAAAGTACCTGAAAAATTCCATGAAAGAGAATCCATACCCGTGCTGCTCCGCAATTCCTGCACAGACAACATTTGCGGATGCACCAATCAGTGTCCCGTTACCTGAAATCAGAAATTCAAAAATAAAATAACAGCCCAGCTTATCTTGGAAGTTAGTTTCTGCTCTTTTCTTCTGTTCAGAGGCTGTGATGTGATGATTACAGTCATCATCGAAGTCAATGCTTTGCAAATGTCTGGAAATAAAACACAGTGCCAACCAGAAAGCAAGTTATCTGTCTGTAAATAGCATGATTCCTTCACAGATAGGGTTATCACTGCTCTATATGATGCTAAGGAGAATTGAGAGGGCCCCTGTTGGAATCAAGTAAAATGCATCTTTTAGAAAAAAAAAAAAGAAAAGAAAAGAAAGCGCAAGCAAAGCTAACAGCCATGGGCTGGCAATGTATGTCCTTTTTAAACAGTGTAACGAGACCTCAGACATGAACCATGGGGCTCTAGGCTCCGCCAGCTCCTAGCAAACTCTTTCAGGAGATGAAAAAAGATGCTCTTTCAGGAAGCATTGGTGTAACCTGGTTTTGTTCACTGATGGGCATTTTCTTCACATAGGTGTTTTCTTGAGTTAGCTCTCTTTGTTCACACTTTTTCATAAAAGGACATGCTGTGCACACAGAAACATAAGCCAGTCCTCGGAGTCTGAGTGAGGAACAAAACCAAGGCTAACCAATTGGATTATTCTTTCCATCCCTTTGTGCCCCCACATAGCTATTAGTTCATGAAAGACTTATATAGCCAAGCCCAGGAGCCTCTTTTTTCTCCCTAATTGAAGCCATCAGTATTCAATTTCAGAACCCAGACTCCACCAGCTTGGTTCTGGTCTGACATCAGTGCTTAAATAGTAGAGAAAAGATTCCTTCCCCTGAGGCTTAGTGAGTAGATAACCCTGTTCTGGAGCTGCTATGGTGTGTGTGCAGGAGAAAATGATGCTCCTGAGACTGGAAACATCAAAACAGAGATGGAAGAATTCCAGTGTCCTTATGAAGAGAACAATGTCAGAGAGACTGAAAAGCTTGTCACGGTGTCAGACATGAGAGGTACCAAGCCCTGAATATGAATCCAGCCTTCTAACTCCAGAGCAGCGGTTCTCAACCTGTGGGCCATGACCCCCTTGGGAGTTGAACAACCTTTTCATAGGGTCACCTAACCATGGGTATTTACATTATGACACATAACAGTAACAAAATTACAGTCATGAAGTAGCAATGGAAATAATTTTATGGTTGATGTAATCACAACATAAGGAACTGTATTAAAGGGTTGCAGCGTTAGGAAGGTTGAAAACCACTAAGCTAGAGCAACTCCAAAAAGGAGCTAAAGGGTGTCTAGGGTTCCCTGTAGATAGACACAGAGCTTCTGAAGGGTTTGGAACAGGTAGCAATGTACAAGTCATGGTTTTGCTGGCCCAGACCATCTCCCATAAGTGTCGTTCTTAGATGTGTCTTACTCTATCACCTGTCTATCTATCTGGTTCTGTCTGGACCTAGAGACCTGACAAATGAAGTTCTTCATCCTTGCCAATGTGATAATTAGTCTTAATTATTAACCTTACAATACAAAAACTCACTGGGTCAATAGGCTTCTGGATGTATGTGGGAGATTATATTGATTGCTAATTGAGGAAGGAAGCTCTGCCCACTATGAGTGCCATCAATCCCTGACTGAGATCCTGGGTGATGTAAGTAGAAAGGAGAGCTGAGCAGCAGCATTCATGGCTTTCTGCTTCCTGACTGTCAACGGAATCTGACCAGATCCTGTGTCTTAGGGTGTCTATTGCTATGATGAAACACCATAACCAAAAGCAAGTTGTGGAAGAAAGGGTTTATTTGGCTTACACTTCCATTATGTGGAAACTCAGGGCAGGAACATGGAGGCAGGAGCTGATGCCTCCATGATGCCAGGGAAAGGTGATGCTAAAAAGCTAACCCCCCATGGCTTGCTCAGCATGCTTTCTGTTGAACTCAGGACCAGTAGCCCAAGGATGACACCACCCACAATGGGCTAGGCCCTCCCCATCAATCACTAATTAAGAAAAAGCCCCCCCCCCCAAAAAAAAAAGAAAAAGCCCTACAGGCTTGCCTATAGCCCTATTCTTATAGAGACATTTTCTCAGGCTCCATGCTCACTGATGACTTCAGCCCATGTCAAGTAAACATAAAACTATCCAGCACAGCCTGGCTTGGTGGCACAACCAACTGTTATCTCAGCACTCATGAAGGTAGAGGCAGGCAACTCTCTGTGAGTTCAAGGCCAGCCTGGTCTACAGTGAGTCCAGGACAGCCAAGGAAAAACTAGGCAGCACACACTGCAAATTCCTGGTAACTTGATTGCCTGCTATGGTTGAACTGTGAACAAGAATACACCTCTCTTCTACTGAGTTGCCTTTGTCAGAATCTTTTTTCACAGCAACAGTAAAAGAAACCAAGGTAGTCGGATAAGTAAAATATGTTTTAGTTTCAAACTATCTAGTCCACGTTCACCAGTTCACATGGCAAATTACATTTCCAAAGTTGATTGAAAACTTCTACTTAAAATGTTCTTTAAATTGCTAAACCTGGGGTTAACAAATTTACTGCTGCCTTTGTGGTTTCAGTTTGAAGTGATGAACTGAGATGTGGAGATGGGAGTGTGTTACATCATGAATAAGGTGTGCTGTGAACTTATCTAGTGACACTGAATGGTACACTTCACTGTTGTTAGAAGGCTAAATTTTATGTTAGGCGTATTGTATCACACCCAGCAGAATTTTTGTACAATTAACAACTAGCATAAGTAAGTGGTTAGTGTGCCAAGAATAAGCACCTTCCAAGACCAGAGCTACTGTTTAAAAGTTCTCAGTGCCAATAAAACTTTACTGGTTCATATCTGCATATCTGCTTCCCAAATGTGCTCTTCTCTCTCTCTCTCTCTCTCTCTCTCTCTCTCTCTCTCTCCTCCCTCCCTCTCCCTCTCCCTGGAATTCTCCATATTCTTAAGGCCTTCCACTGTGGGAGAATGTACCCATTGTTATAATTGGAGGTTGAGTGTCTGGCTCCCTATCCCAGAGCACAATGCCAGGTTATTACAGCAAGTAGTTCATACATTTGAATTTTCTTTAAATCCCATTTAAGGAATGAATTTGCAAATGTCTTTGGATCTTGTTTCCATTGCTGGTATTAAATGTACCTATGAAAGAAACTCTGTTGTTCCTGAAACTCAGGAGCTGTTTCTCAGATGGAACAAATTTAATGTATTCTGCACTTTTATAAGAATGTCAGCCTCAGTCACAGCAGTAAATAAATTAGTTGTCTCCTGAAGTCACAGATGCATCACTGGCTGATGTTAATCCCCCTCCACAAATGAGCAGACAAATGAACTAGAAAGTTATCGATTTAATAGTCAGATAAGTCGAAGAACACAGAAAGGTAGATTATCTGGAGGCAATAAGAATGTTAAATATATCCGGTGTGTTTATCTAAGTTTCTCTGCAATCCACTCGTGTGCTCACAGGTGATTAAGCTGTCTAAATATAAGAAGGACTCTAGCCTGGCTCTCCTCTAGACAGCTACATCCAAAACCCTTGTGTATTACCCAGGGGTCAATTTCATCTGACTCACAGTGTAGTTTCTTTAGACTTCATCCCCAGCACCTGATTTCGACCTTTTATCTCCCTCTTCCTTTTAAGTAGAGTCCCTGCTCACCCATGCATTGCCTCTGGGCAGTGGAGCCCAGTGAGGAAGGCTGGAGAGAGAATGTTCACTACAGTCTTCTGATTCAGACAGTGTGGTGCGATTAGGTGCAGGGTGGGATCATGTTAGCTTTGAACTACCAATAGTGATTGTCATCAGATTGTGGGCTCTGCACTGTGAGAAGTTACAGTGAACAAATGAAATCATGAGTGGCTGTGTTGTTGATATAAGCACCAGTGCCTCAGCCACAAGGGGTTGGTAAAGACTTCCCCGGGTTGGGCTCAAAGGAATGGCAAAGTCTTCCTCTGTTAGGAGTGTGAATGATGACAGTGTGTAAAGAAAATGTTCATCTCCCACTCCCGGATGTTTACAAGTAAAGAGAGCCAGCTCCTACTAAGATCAGCTAAGCGGGTCTTCTTGGTCAGATGTATGACATAAACTCGCCTCCCTGTTCAACTGCAGAAAATAAACTCTGTACTTCCCAAGTACTGGGACTTCTTTATTTGAGAGCCCACACCACCTGAGTCCAGTTTTTTCTGTATGTTTGTATCTTTACTTTTTCTTCATTCTCTTGCTGCCCCTAATCAGGGTTCCAGGATCAATGCCATGAAAGAAGATGGCAAAACTGACAGGCTTCACAAAGGAGCTGATGAATGCTGCTTGTTCAAAATTTGAAATCAGGAAGTCACCAGGGTTCTCTTCAATTTACTTTTGATTTGTTAACTACCACGCCTTGCTTAGTCTGCACCACAGGGTCAGTGTGGTCTTCCACAGGGCAGTCGGCTCCCCCTTACCTCCCAGGCAGGCACCAAGGGCCAGGGCATACATGAGTGGCAGGGCAGGCAAACTAATGTCAGGGTCTTGGCTCAGGTTCAGGAGTACAGGGATCTGTGGAAAAAAGGGACATTGTGACCACATGTCATATAAACTTACAGGAGGTACACACTGTGACTGACTTACATAGCAGAAAGAGCCCTCTTTTAGGGGACTGTGGAGATAGCCCAGCAGTTAAAAACACTGCCTGCTTTTGCAAAGGACCTAGGCTCAATTCCCAGTACCCATGTGGAAGCTTACAATCAGCCCCTTAAGGGTCTGGCCTCTGAGGGTATAAAAAACAGACATGCCTTTCACATAAAATAAAACTAAAAGAAAAAATTTAAAGAGCCTTATATGTATTATTACTACTATTATTATTATTAATAGCATGCACGTATGTGTGTATGTGTGTATGATGAGGTGTGGGTATCACAGCACAAGTATTGAAGGCCAACCTTGTAGATTGGAGTCAGTTCTTTCCTTCCAAATTCACATGTCTTTCTGGGGATAAAACTCAGGTTGTCAAGCTTACATTCTTGGGTGGCAAATGCCTTTACCCATTAAGCTATCTCACTGGCCATCAGAGATATTTTCAAATAGCCAAACTGTTAAAAAAATATAAATATTTTTAAAAGAGCACAAAATGCATGGAAGAAACCAAAGCAGACTTTGGCATGCACAAAACTTTGTGTGTGTGCTCATCTGTCTGTCTCGTACAAGCCGGATGAACAGCTAGGTTTCCTCATGTGAGGCTGCCCAGCCTGTTTCTGTGGGTCACAATAGATGAAGTCATGTCAAGCTTCGTGTGGCACCTAAGAACCGTGCACTCAGTGTTTATGGAACCCTGCCAGCATCATGCTGTCATGAAGCATTATCTCAGTCCACACTAAATCACTCCTCAAATGCATCTGCTAGCACTTCAGTTGACAGGTGCAGGAGGCTGGTAAGATGGCTCAGAGGGTAATGGGGCTTGGTGCCAAATCTGATGACCTGAGTTTGATTCCCAGAACCTACGTGTTAGGAAAGAATTGACTCCTGAAAGTTGACCCCTGACCACACACACACACTGTCATATCCCCACACACATATACAAGAGATGTTTTTAAAAAAATTAATAAATCATGAAAGTGGGCATGAGAAGATACAATAATAACATATTTTACAACCAAAACATGAAAATAGTTCTCCGCTCAAAAGTTACACCTGAGAAAGCTGCCTTTCAGCAATGTCTTCCCTAGTCAGCCTAGACCTGTGGCATTTGTGCTAGGACATGTTAACAGTGTACAATGAGAATATCAATTTCCAAAGAGTCATACCAATATCCACGACCTTCTTCTAAGAGAAAAACTTTGCATTATTGTAACCAATAAAACGTGTAGGGGTGTGACATTTGTTAGAAATGTATGTTGTTGCCATTTTTTTTTAACATATTATATTAAGTCTCTCTGGGTGTTTTTAAAACTGACTGCTGTCCTGTGTGTTTGAGATATACTGTGACTATCCATTTGTAGGAATCTTGGTCTCTTACATATACCACAATGGTTTACTGCCCCGTCCCGAGAGCTAGTCGAACAGGGTCCACCTGAAAGAGGGAGTGAAAATTAGAGGACAGAGATGTGAAGAATGGAGACAAGACAGATTCCTGATCAAGTCTCAGTTTACTGAACGTGCAAACAACATTTATGAAGCAAAGGGAACAAGCAAATTTTTTTCACAGTAGCAACACATCTGTGCCACCTCGCAAGGCATTCAGGAATTCACTCAAGGTTACACAAAGTTTGCCGTCAGGTTCTCAAGGTTGCAGGGAGTTTGCTATCTATTCTCAGGCTCAGAGCACCCTGCCAGCAGAGACCGCCAAGAACAGTCCCTGAGAAATGGAACTATGGATAAGACCCGCATCTGCCAAGGCCTGGAGGCAGAATTCCAATTACCAGACTCCTTCAGTTTTCAGAGTGGGTGAGCCTAAATCTGGCTTTATGGCTGTGAGTCTGTGAGTCAAAAGAGAGAAAGAAAAAGAAAGAGAGAAAGCCCAGCAATGTTCCTCCAAAACCACCTTCCCTGGCCAGAGGACTCACTGTTCATCTACCCACTGGGGAAGGCCTGAAACCCACATTGCCAAGTTAGTGGAGGAGACACTGTCTTTGCTCCTCACATTCTTACTTCTCTAGGGACAGCCTTATTTAGTTCTCTTAAGTGGCATATTGGGATTCAATCCAGATCCTCCCCCTGCAGAACACAGCCGAGAATCCCTATAACTGCTGTGTTATTTAGCCTAATTGCAGTCCACTGGACCTGGCTCAGCTCTCTATATTATTTTCTTTCTGAAAAGAAAAAAGCTAAAACCAAAAATGGCATCATGTAAGAAACAAAAAGTAAAAACTTATGTGAAGTACTTTTGATTTGTATCACCTCGGAGGTTTTTTTTTCCTCTCTCTCTCTCCATACCAGCTATTACAGCCAACAACAACAGTTGTTTTGAATGCCTCTTTATTGGGCCTGAAAAGAAACCTGGTGTGATAAGGATGATGCTAAAGAACACAAGAACCTTCAAAAAATTACTTTCTCACATTTTGGCTAAATGGCAATATAACTATGTATATCCAAGAAATTAATTTCTTTAAACTACAAAATTGTGGTATAAATTACCATCATTTGACTTGGCACAGGATAAAAATGATAATATTTTAAATCTGAAAGTTGCAACAAAATCTTTCCTGTTAAAGCCAAGGAGTTTGAAAAGAAAAAGCTTCAACAAAGGAAGATAATCCGAGAATTCTCAAGTCCTTAACAATGAATTTTAGGTTCCCAGTGTAGCCTTGAGGGCACTATAGTAGAGACCTAGGAACTCTCTGCTAAGGGGCTGCCCTCAGATTCCCAGCAGATTCAACGGCTGACAGGAAGACAATAAAAGAAAAGGCAGATGAGTGTGAAAGGGATTCCCAGGCTTGGGAAGGTGTTTTCAAACACTGAAATGTCTGGACATTAAGGATCCGTACCTTCTATTGTCCCAGCCCTTTCAGCTTTCCCTTTCCTCCAACAAGCAAGGGACTAATACTGGCATCTGGTGAGGACCAGGGGGCCTCACCCTGCCCACCTCAGATACTCTATGGCTGTCCTCTTTGCATTAAATATTAGTAGTGATGAATATTGCTTAATATTTCAGTTAACAATAAGCGCTGACGAGAAGGGCCCAAGACAGAGGGCTAGCCACCGTTCTTGTCTACAACCCTAACTGAGAAATACTCACAAGTGAAAAAAGTCAGAAATATTTTACTTCAGTTTTTAAAAAGTAGCTACAATAGCTAGGCATGGTAATAAACACCTTTAATCCCAGCACTGAAAAGGCAGATTCAAGAGTTCAAGGCTAGCCTGGTCTACATAGTAAGTTCGGGGCCCAGAGTAACATTATGAGCCTAGTCTCAAAATTAAAAAATAGCTAATAACAAGCATAATCCATCCCAAACCCCTAGAATGTGAATGCCTTCCATGATCTACAGATCATCCTCAGATCAGAATGTTCCTAATCCTTATTCAGCCATCATGGAAAACTAAATTCGTCTATTGACAGATTCATTTTCTTCTGGGCATGAATAAAATTTCCATGGTGTCATCCTACCAGTTATGAGCTAAATCTCTGAATCCCCTCCCTCTAAATGACACAGCATTCCTTCCTGACCTCAGAAAGAGGAGATATACCACTGACAAAACATGAGCTGCAATTTGTAAACAGTTAACATGATGAATGCAGGTACATGTATGAGACCCAACACAAAGAAGAGACAGGGTGCATTTGTCTCTTTTGTCCTATGGGATAACAGAATTACTCAGCAATTGTTCTAAGGTGACAGTTCTCAACCATATCAAATATGTACTGTTGTGATTCATAACGGTAGCAAAACTATCGTTATGAAGTAGCAACGAAAGTAATTTTGTGGTTGAGGATCACCACAGCATGAGCAACTGTATCTAAGGGCAGCAGTGTTAGGGAGGTTGAGAAGTACTGTCTTAGTCCTGCAGTTGCTAGACCTCCTCACCAAGTGGCCTCCTGCTCCCTGACTGCATTTGTAATGATGGTCCTTCCAAACAGCAGCTGTCTCTGCCAGCTCTTTGGTCCTCTGTGAGTTTCCGTAGTGTTCCCCTACATGCAGAAGGCTCCACAGCAGTGTAGAGTGAAGGTGCTTCCAGATAGAAGGACCTCTCTGCAGACAGGACACCTGATGCCCCTTATCTCACTGATCAGTCAGTGGGTCAGAGCCAAATCAGTGAGGAAAACTGCCAAACATTGGTTCACAGGGAGAGTCACTTCACATATCTGGGCTTGGACAGAGGAGGCTAGAGAGAAAGAAATCCAGGAAGCAGCCCCTGAAGCCCAGGGGCATGGACTCTAGCACACCAAAGCTGCTCAAGGTTCTGCTGGGAGTAGGTAAACACTGAGAGGATGAAAGAAGGAGGAGACAGATTCTCAAGCCCTGATCTTTTAATAAGCAATGGCAGGTAGTTTATCACTGAGTGTAAGGTGAAAATAAAACCCAAAACAGCAATAGGCAGCTGGGCTATTTCCACCTAACTGGCACTGGGCGACACATGCACTCTGCAACCACACCGCTAGATCTCAGGCTGTCCATGTCTAGAGCTCAAGCTCAACTATAGAAGGATTTCCTGTGGTTAGATAAAAGCCAGCATTTCTTAGGAACTTGTGAAATTGGTTTCAGGCTGCCAGAAAGAGTCATTCCTGTTACCTCTGGCAGAGTGGATTTATGACTATCTATCTATGGTACCTATTAGCATATCAAAGCCCATGCTGGCCTCCAGGCTCCCTCAGTATCACAAGTACCTGTTATTTATTCCAAAGTTCATGATAGCACCCTGCCCTTCCCTCCCCGAGATACTCATCCTCCTTATAATCCACAGGATTTCTCCACCCACTCTATCTCTATCTCTACTCCCTCTCTTACTATTCTCTTTCACTCTTCATGCTCTTGTTCACTCACTCTCTCCTGCTATCTCTCTATCCTCTTGCTCTCTTCTTATTCTTTCTCATTTTCCACCCCCTTCTCTCTATTCTATTCTCT